ACCCTTCAGCCCAACCATGTTCTGTGTTCGGAATAATACGACGTATGTCGTGTTGCTTTGGGCGCTGTTTGCAAGGAGTGAGGGGCGACCAGGCAGGGCCACTCGTCGTTTGCTCTTTCCCCTGCATTGGCATTATCCTCTTCTTTCCTTTTCCAATTCTCCTGCGTTTGTTTATTTTCGTTCCTTGCTCTTTCCGTGTTAAGTCGTACTGGCTGCGGTCGCTCCTACCTCTTGCTTTTTGCGCCTGCAACTACCTTCCCTCCTTCCCAGAGCGTACTCGTTCTGCAAGCACTAGTCGCGCGTGACGACCGTCGCGCCTTCCCCTCCCCGCCATGTCCGACACCCGGCGCCGCTCCTCGCGCTCGTCGTCGACGGCCCACCTCAGGAGCTCTGGAGGCTCCTCGTCAACAAACAACCCCTCGTCGTCCGACACGGCATCCAACGTTTCCTCGTCCTCGGCGACGTCGTCCTCCCGCCACCGCAGTGCCCGCCACAGCGGTGCACCCTCTAACCGTTCGTCCACGTCGCTCCACCGCATTGCCGGCAGCAGCAGCAACCGCTCGCGAGAGTCACTCGCACCGTCAACGCCGTCTGACCGGCCGTCGAGAAAGTCGGGCGCGTCGTCGTCGTCCACGTCTTCCTCGTCTGCGGCCACTCTGCAGCCGCCCGCCACCGACCCAGGTCCGTCCACCGGCACGGGCGGCATCTATGGCAATCTCGCCGGCCGTGCCAGCGAGTCCCGCTTCTCGCTGACCGACCAGTTCGCATCGACACGCAGCGTGCTCGACTTTGGCTTTGACGACACCGCCTCGTCCATCTTTGACGCGCAGTCCATGTTGTCTGTGGGCACGGCACGGGCGCCATCCGTGTATGGGTATGACGGGTACGACGCGTACGACGGGTACGAGGCGGCCGCCGCCGCGGCTGCTGCAGCGAGCGTGGGCGGCGTCGGTGGGCTGGACCCCTTTGCTGAACTCGGCAGCATGACCCCCACCGCTTCGTCCACGGGCAACGGCTTGCAGGGGTCGCCTTGGCAGGCCGAGGAAGAGTACCTCGGGGGTGCATACAGCACGGTCTTGGAAGAGAATGAAGACGAGGACGATGCGGCTACGATTGGAGGTGGCCGTTCCGACGCCAACAGCGACGGCAATGATCTGACAGACGACAACGACACGACTGAGCAGACGCCCACCAAACAGAAGAAGAGAAGCCGTGCACACTCATCAGCCGACGTGACCGTCATTGGTGGCGGCGGCGGCAGCAGCAGCAGCCAGAAGTCGCCGCCCCGTGACGCGGAGATCCTCGACGAGCTGCAAGACCCATTGCGGCTGCCTGTGCCTGTCCTGCCTCCTGCACAGCGTGGTCCACGGTCCTCCATCGCCGCCGCATCCGCTCCTCCTCCTGCTCGCATCCCGGCGTCCCGCGTGCACCGCAGCTACTACGACCTCTTCTGCCTCTCGAGGGAGCAGTTGCCGCCGCCCAACGGCGCCCAGATTCGTGCTGCCTACTTCCGCCTGTTCCGCCTGCTCAACAGCACCGTCAGCAACGGCAGTGCCAGCAACGACCCCGACAAGGCGAACTTGATGCCCACGGCGCTGCGGCCTTTTGCAGCCGCCTATTTTTTGGAGATCCAGAACGCGTTTGAGACGCTGATCGACCCAATCCGCCGGCTCGAGTACGACCGCTACCTTGATGACCTGGAAGACAACCGCACGGGCGACGGCCTTGACGACGACGACGATGACGACAGCGAGAGTGAGGTGGATGACGGCAAGAGCGGCAAAAGCAAAATGACACGCAGCTCCGACAAGGCCACAACGGCGCCAACAGCACCTACAGTGCCAACAGCCGCCTACCCTTCACCACAGGCCCCGGCATTTGTGCGTAAATACGATTTCCAGACGACAACCGATCTGGGCGCTCGTTACACCGTCTCGGGTGCTCATCATCGGGCGGGCCAGCTCCTCCCAGCCGCACCGAACGTGGCTTCTCTCGACTACTCCCTCACACAATCCGTCCGCGTCGGCCTGCCCGCCCTTCGCCAGTATACCGAAGCCAGCCTCTTCCAGCTGCAGTGCCGCCTTCAGAAGGCGCGCCGCCTGTTGCACGAACACTATGGCATAGGCCCCGAGCCTGCGGCACAAAATTCTTTTAAGAGTCGCGATGGCCGCACCTACTACTATACCCGCCGCCACTCGTCTACTTCTTCCGCCGCCGCCGCCGCCGACCAGCCCCTGTGGCCCATTCGCTGCGGCATCCCCATTGTGAGCCTGTCCGCCTCGACGTACTCTCTATCTACAGCGGCAGCCGCTGCTGGTGCCGTCCTTCCACTTGGCGACCGGTTCCAGCCACTTTTGCCCGAGGTGCTCGGCCCGGCCCGCATCGCACAGCTAGCGCATACTCGAGCCACCGGCTGTGTCGTGCTCGGCTACCGCCAGGAGTTCTGGTCTGGCAGTGCGCTCGCCAATCCTCCCGGCAGTGCACCAGGCCCCCCGCCGCCGTCCGTTGTGGTTGACGTCGAGGCCGAGGTGCTGCCCCGTGCGGCCGTCACGGTCCGCATTGCCCAGACTGTTCAACTGCCCGCGGCCGCCCATAAGCTTGAGCGCCGCATTTTCGGCCATCCCAGCAACGAGCGTATCCATGTGGAGGCTATGGTGCAGACCGGCGAATCGTCCTTGTTTTCGAATCGCCTGCTGGTGTTGTCGCCGTCGCCGTCGCTGCCACGCTTCGGCCTTGGTCTCTCCCGCCGCGTGGGCAGCGGCAACGGTAACATCTTCTTGTGCGCCGACAGCGGAAACGCGTGGTGGTCGTCCTCGTCCTCATCCTCGCTGGATTCTGTCTCCTCTGTCTTCGCCCCCCTTATCCCACCCATGGTCGAGGTCGGTTATAGCATGAGCCCCCATCAACTGGGCCTGCACGCCGGACGGCCCCTGACGGGTCCCGCCGACCGCGGTCTCAAGGGCGTCGACATCGACATGGATACCCTGGGCAGCGTGACGGCATACTCGTCCGACCGTCGCAACCCTGTTTCCCCGCACGGCACGTGGACTGTCTCAGCCGCCACGACAGGCTACGGCTCCGCGGCTGCCTACCTGCGCTACGGCCGTACCGTCTTCCTCACCCCTCTCGGACGGACACCCCCGTCTACCGCGGCCTCCAACTCCCGTCGCAGTCGCCGGCAGCGCCAGTCGCCGCAGCGAGCCGTCCGCGTCGAGGCTGAACTGTGCGCCGCCGACTGCTACTTCTCCGATGGCTACCTCGCCGTCCGTGCTTTGGCGCCTGTCCGTTGGTGGGGCCTCCGCAACGGCTGGACCAGCAACGCCACAACAAGCTTCCGCAGCAGCACCCCCGCCAGCACGACTCCGCCTAAGCTCGGCCTTGAGGTCGCCCTGAGCGCTAGCAGTGGCCATGTCCACATCTCCCTGTATTGGTCGCGCCTGGGCCAGCGCTTCAAGCTGCCTTTCTTGCTGCTGCCGAACCCGGCCTCGATTGCCGCGTCCTCGTCCACCTCGGCGACCCACGCAGCCGCCAAACTCTTCGTATGGGCCGCCATTGCACCCGTGGCCGTCATGGCCGTCCGCGAGGTCGCACGCATCTACTGGCGCGCCGCCACCAAGCAGTGGAAGTCGTCGCGGTCCAAGGCGCGTGCCAAGAGACGCGGTCTGACTGGTGAGGCCGCCGCCACAGCCGGTTACGAGCACGAGACGGCGGACGATGCCCACGATGCCGGCTTTGACTTTGACGAGGAAGAAGAACAGGCCATTACGCACCACCGCGCCGAGGCCGACGAGCTGACCATGATCCTGGCTTCGGCTGTCGACGCACAGCGCGTACTGGAGCAGCAGATGCGCCAGCGCTCAGTGATTCGCAGCAGCACTGCTAGTGACAACGACCACCACCACCACAACGAGCTCGTCATTATCAGTGCCAAGTACGGCGTAGCCCTCGCCGACGACCCGGATGACCCGGACACTGGGCACACACGCAACGATAGCGCGACGAGCGGCCTAGGCCACGGCATTCATGCTGCCTCTCCGCCCGTGACTGCTATGGCCTCGCGCAACGGCTGGGCGCCCGATTACGAGGTGGCGGATGTCACCGCGGCAGTGTCTGCCCTGATTGTGACGGGCGGCAGCGGCAACGATGCCACCGACAGCGACTACCTCTACATTCCGGCCGGCCTGCAAAAGGGCCGTCTGCTGGGTTTCTGGGACCCGGCGCCCAGCTACCGCTCCAAGAAGTACAGTGACGGGCAACCGACGGCACCCACACAGCGCCGGGCGGCTCGCGGCAAAAAGGTACTGCATGTGCGCTACCTCTGGAACGGTCTTGAACGCGTGGCCGAGGTTGGTGACCGGGCCGAGCTGCGTCTTCCATGATGAACGAACGAAATGAAACCATGCTGCATGATGATCAGATGAGAGATGGCCTGTTTTGAGACGAAATGAATACCATGAATTGAGCAAAGCGAGCCCGGGTGACTTTATGTTTACAAAATTTGGGAACGTTTACGTATTGTCTATAGCTTATGCAGAAAGGCAGATGAGATATATTTGTGTCTGACTTAAAAAAAGACAATAAGTAAAAAAAAAAAAATTCGGAATTTGCCTTGATGTGAGAGACACCTGGCTTTCTTTCTTTCTTCTTTCTTTCTTTTTTTTGACTTTTTTTGAATGAAGTCGTGACAATTTATTCAAAAAAATCAGAACTTCGACAGGGACATATAAGTCGAGAAACCAAAGAAAAATATGAACGAAAAGCAAAATTGCGACACTGCCAAAACAAGAGTGTCTTCTTTTTTGGTTAAACTGAGAATAAAACAAGCATTTTTGAACAATCCAAAATCTCGAAATATAAATGGGCAGAAGTAGTTGGTAGGAAACAACGCGATATACGACAAAATAGGACAATCTGAACAACCTGAGGCGTGCAAAAAGTATAAGAAGAAATTACAAAAACAGCGGATGTTATAGGCCATTTCGAGAAAAGACGCCAAGTGCTCAAGAAGAGGAGGCCGTGCCGAACACGACCTTCTCCAGCTTGTCGCGCTCACCACTCTCCTCGCACATGCCGCGGAAGATGCCCTCCTCGGCACCCTTCTCCCACAGCTCGCGCGGCGTGCCGTACTCGGCCACCGCACCATCGCTGAGCACAAGAATGCGGTCAAAGTCGGCAATGGTGCTCAGACGGTGCGCAATCACGAGCAAGGTCGAGTCTGTGAACTCTTCGCGAATGCTGCGTTGGATCAGACCATCCGTGTGCATGTCAACGGCCGACGTCGCCTCGTCCAGCACCATGACACGCGGTCTCCGGACTATGGCACGGGCCAGGCAGAGCAACTGGCGCTGGCCCTGCGACAGATTGAGGCCACCTTCAGAGATCTGCGAGGACAGGCCGTTGAAGATGTTGACGTTCTTGGGCTCCGACACAGTGCTGGAGGACGAGGCGGGTTCGGCAGGTGTAGGCGAGTTGCGACCCGAAGTGGCAGCCGACGATGCGCGGGACGTTGTCAAGTGTACGCGATCCAAACAGTCGCGCAACTCTTCGTCAGTGTGTGTGTTGAAGGGGTCCAGGTTGCTGCGAATAGTGCCAGAGAACAAAACGGGGTCCTGAGGAATGATAGCCAAGCGCGAACGGAGATCGTGGAGCCTGATCTTGGAGATGTCGATGCCGTCAATGTGAATGCCACCCGAGCGAGCCTCGAGGAAACGGAACAGCGCCAGAGTCAGCGACGACTTGCCGGCACCGGTGCGGCCGACAACACCAACGCGCTGGTTGCGCTCAACACCAAACGTAAGACCCTTCAGGACAGGCGGCAAATCGGGAGCGTAGCTGACAACCAGGTTGTCGACCTCAATGCGGCCTTCCGTCGGCCAGGCCGCAGGTGGCTGTTGACCACCAAGATCCTCGGTAGGCAGCTCCGTGTACTCAATAATGCGCTCGGCCGCATTCATTTGGAGCTCGACGTTAGCGTACAGACGCACTGTCCACATGACGCACGACGAGAAATCCAGAGCAAAGGCCAGTGCGAAACCAGCCAGGGCCGAGTCAATCGTCGGTGACGAGAAAAGAACCGAGGCAACAACGACGGAGAAGAAGGAGCCCACCAGGCTCATGCGCCAGCCAACCCAGCGATTGAACAGCCATAAGTGCCAGGTCGTGGTCGACCAGTCATCCAGCTTGCGGTACATGCGCTGAATATAGACCTGTACCTTGTCGTAGCCACGGATGGTCACAACACCGGACAGGGCCGTGCCGAACTGCTCAAACACGGGCGACTTAGCCGTGCTTTCAAGACGCTTCGCAGGGCGGGCAGCGGTGACATAGATGGAGGCGAAGTAGACGCAGATGACCAGGAGGGCAAACGACATCAACACAATGAACGGCGAGACAAAGAAACCAGACAAGACGACACCAATCAGCTGGACAAACGAATTACCACCAAAGCTGATGGAGTTGGCCAGCTGGTTGTCAATAATGTTGAAGTCGGCGGTGAAACGGTTCAGAATACGACCGACGGGCACAGTATCGAGCCAGCGGAGCGGGGCCCGAAGAATGATAAAGTTGAGTCTCTCGAACAGAGTCCGGCTAGCCCGGATCGAACCAAAATAGATGTAAAAGTATCGCGCCGAGCTGATGATGGCCGTGGACATGGCAAGGAGGACGTAGATTCCCATATAGTAGCTCATAGATTCAGTCGTGTACGTGCCGACCTTGTTGGATGAGCTGAACGCACTTGAAAAACCATTCACAGAGCCCATGGTCTTCTGGTGGTGAAGGCCGCCGGTGTAGGAGTACTGCTGGTTCTGGCCGAGGGCGTGGTGGCCAAGAGTGGAATAATTGAACGAGGTCGCTTCACTCTTCTCATCGTACAGACCAGTCCAGATGCGCAGCCACCAGGAGCGAGACACATTGAGAATCTGCACGATAAAGAACACAACGACGACGCTAGTCCAGAAGGGCCAGCCGCCGCTGGCCTTGAGATACGCAAGGTACACGTGCTTGCGAACGGCACCTTCTTCGCGTTTCTCGTCCTCGACAAACTTCCTGGCCGTCTTTTTGGGAGCAGCCTCTGCGGCCCCGGCTTGGGAGGCGCGAGAAGCAGTCTTCTTGAGAGCACCACCATCGCTAGGGCCACTCTCGTTGTCGTTGTCGTCACCGTTGTCAGTGGAATTGTCTGAGTTCACAGCCGTGGCCTCGGCGGTTTCATCTTCGTTGACTTCCACGGCGCGCTGCTCATGGCTCTTGATGCGATCGAGGGTGCCATCCTCAGCAAGTTCCGAAAGCAGGCCCGAGTGAAGCACGCGGCCCTCGCCAAGCTCGACGAGGAACTTGGTCTGGGGTGCACACAGAGACACGTGATGGGTGACCAGAATACGGGTGCGGCCAGCACAGAGCTCACCGTTGATGCACTTCTCAAAGATGTGGCGACCGACGTGGGCATCGACAGCACTGAAAATGTCGTCCATGACAAGAATACCGGCACGCGAGTAGATGGCACGGGCAAGGGTGATTCGCCACTTCTGGCCACCACTCAGGTTGATGCCGTTGGCGCCAATTTCGGTGTCCTCGCCGTCCGACAACATCTCGAGATCCTTCGTAAGAGCGCATACCTCGATGGTCTTCTGGTAGCGCTCCTCGTCAGTAGGCAGGCCGAAAATGATGTTTTCGCGAATCGTAGCATTCTCGATCCAGGGAATCTGGGCAATATACGCAATCGACTTGGGCAGGATCCAGTCACCCTTGGTGGCCTTGGAATCATGGCGGTCGTCAATGGACAGGCCGTCAGGGACGGTGATGCTGCCAGCAAGGAGGTCGACCTCGCCAAGAATGGCGGAAAGCAACATACTCTTGCCGGTACCAGTCTTGCCAGAGATGACCGAGAGTTCGCCCTGGGGAAAAGTAAGGTTGACATCACGCAGGACGAAGCGTTCGCTCTCGTCAATATCCTCGTCAGATGGCCAAGCAATGGAAGCCTTGTCGAACGAAATCTCATCGCCGTCCTTGGAAACCTTGACAAGATCGGGGCTGCAAAGGTACTCCTCAATACGCTTGATAGAGACCCAGGCGTCAAGCAGGTCGGTCGTCAGTTCAGGGATAACAGACAGAGTAACTTCCAGGGCCCGGAAAACACCCAGGCTGACAAAGGCGACAGACGGGCTGAGCTCGCCATAGATGTAGGCATAGACGGCAAGCGAGATGGCGGATAAGGCAATAGGGCTCGTGACCCAGCAGGCAATCAGAATGGCATCGTAGCAGAAGACGTCCCAGACCTTCTTGAGCTCGCGATTGCGCACCTCGCCGATCTTGTCCTCCCACTGCGGTTCGAGGGCAGAGAACTTGATCTGGCGGATGCCCTGCAGAGCCTCAGTGACGACCTCCAGCTTCTCATCGCGCAGCTTCATCAACTTGTCCTGGGCGTCCGCATACAGTTTCGAGAAGTAGATATTGAAGGGCATGATGATGAGCATCGACGTGAAACCGGCGGCGAGAGGAATCCAGCCCAGAAGATTGACAAGGAATGTGAGCGAAACGGCAAGCTTGAACAAACTGCCGGGGAAGAGGTTCTGGTAAGAGCAAAAGTCCGAAACACGCTTGCCATCCACTCCAATCAGGTTGACAGTGCCCTGCTTAGTCTTCTTCGCTGACTCAAGATCGTCTTCTTCTTCTTCCTTGGCAGCGTCGGTCGGTTCGGGCACCTCGGGGGCATCAGCGGTGGTCGTCTCGGCTCCAGGCGCCGCAATGGCGGGATCGGTCGGGCCAACGGCGGCGTCCTTGTTCTTCTTGCGGCTCTGCTTAACATCCTTGCGGCGCATAGACTTTTCAAAGATCAGAGCAGAGAGCTGGGCGCGGACAGGGATGCTGAGCTCTGCCCAAGACAGCCAGAAAACGTAAGATTCGAGAAGCGACTGGGCAATGATGGCAATGCCGAGCCACAGGACCCAGATCCAAGCATCGACGCTCAAGGGTTCGCCCAGAACGCGACCCTCCAGGATGCGCAGCAGACGCAGGACGACCCACTGCGGTGCAAAGTTGAGGATGGCCGTGCCGAAGGTCAGCAGCCACTGTAGAGCAAAAGGGCCGGCGTGGGCACGGATAATGGAGAGCCAAAGGCGACGGTCCGGGTAGTTGGCAGCGCGCCAGTTGGCAGACATGTTGACAGCACGGGTCAGATGGTTCGGGCGAGGCATATCGATGAGATCCAAGCTCTTCTTGGTGACCGAGAGCTTCATCAGCTCCGAGGGCCACGAGAAGGTGAAGCGGCTGTACGCAGTCGTGGTGTACATTCGGTCGACGAGTTCATCCTGGTAGTAGACCTCGGGGCGCCGAGGCAGCAGAACGCTGGCCGCGGTGACGGCGGCAACGCCTACAAGCTCAGTGACACGCAGCCCAAGGACTAGGCGGTTGTTCTCGAGCAGGTCTTCGACGACCTTGGTGTCAAAGGTAATAGTGGTGTAAGCCAGTGTGAGACCACTCGCGAAGGTGAAAAGACCAAAGTGGTAGGCCTCGGACGAGCGACGGATGGCCACAATGGCGATCGCCTGGAACAAAATGAGGAGCTAGACATTGTTGTTAGATGACAGAGCGACATGAGAGAGACGCGGACGAGGAAAAGGAACATACCCATGCAGCAGTCACGAGCCAGCTCTCAACAAACAGCTTGTCACGGCCGTTGTTGAGCGTGGCTAGAACGGACGCGGCGAGTGACGGTCCGGCGCCGAGGAGGGCGGAGAGCAGCACAGCCGCCTTGGGCAGCTTGTCGGAGAAAGCGGCGTCCGACTCGGCCGTAGCCTTGCCGTCAGGGTCGCTGTAGACGTCATCGCTTCGCTGCTCACGCTTACGGATCTGGTTAACGAGACCAGACACGGAGGGGTAGGTCAAGAGGGTGACGGCGGCCAATGCGGCACCAACTCCAAGAATCATGGATTCATCGTGCATGATTGGCGAGAAACGCGCGTTGGAGAAAGGGGAAAATTGCCAAGCCTTGCAGCGCTTTCACGCTGTCGGGATTCCGTGGTCCGTACTTGGAAAGTCTCTCGGCAGCGTTTTCTCTTTCTTTGGCTGTGCGCTGTTTCTGTTCTTTTCTTTTTCTCGCCAATGATCCTTCTCAGGGGGAGAGGGAGAGAAAAGAGGATGAGGTCTTTCGACTGGTCCAATGCTGCTTTTACACCAAAACTGGAGAAAACGCAGCGGCACGGGGAAACACAATCAAAAGCAAAAAGAGAAAAGAGTAAAGGACAAGAAGAGAAAGGAAACAATTGAAAATAGGAGCGATGTATGCAAAATATGAGAAAAGCCTTGGCTGGCTACAACGGGAAAGCACAGCACAATGAAGGAATTAACCAGTTGGATTCACGCAGAGTGGAGAGGGCAGACAAAAACAGAGTGCTAAATGGACCAGGCAGCCAGACAGACCAGAAGGCCGGGGAGCGGAGTGGAGAATATGCAGAGCGGATGGCGAGGGGGGTTGACAAACAGAGGTCGACGAACAAAACGACCGCAGGAGTGACGCCAGAACGAGGCAGAAGCAAACAACAGCTTGCAAAACACGACGAGCTGGGATATGAGAAATTCTACACAGACGGGCTGCTCGAAAACAATGAAGAGAACAAAATGGCGAGGCAGCGCAAGCTAGCCCGGGACCCTGGCTTTGTATTTGTATTTTGGCTTCGTACGAATTATGTGTGAATGTCGTAATCCGATAATGTGATAGCAGCATGGATGCGCAGGTACCTAACCCAAGCTGGTAGCTACCTCGATGGGTCACTTCATGGGTAAATCGAGGCTGTGAACGAAAGCGCGGGTGGGTGGATGCGTGTGGATGCGTGTGGATGCGTCAAGAATACAGGTTCCAGGAGTCAGAAAGGAAGGCAAAGTGACGATACTGACGACGTGAGTCAAAATGCAAAATGAGAATGGAAAAAACAAAACGAAAAAGAAGAAAACAGAAGGACTACGTAAATGCAGAATGCAGGAAAGAAAGTCCTGGGCGGCGTGAAGGTCTGGGAAAGAGGCTGGTGGCTGCAATCCTTCAAATTGGCAGGAGCAGGGCGTCTATCGGGGCGGCAGGTGCAAGATCCTGTAGCAAAGGCAAGCAGGAGAGACCCGATGAGTAGGAAGGAACAAGGTGCGAAAAGGTCAACAGCGGAAGGCGCAAGGACGCCGCACAAATGAGGCGAACTTGAGGCGACAATTCAAAGAGCAGAAGTCAAGTGCACGTCTCAACTGTTAGACGTTTGTGTCTCCAAATTCGAGAAATTCCAGGTGGTGATATAGAACTCTCCGTCGCTAGAAAATGACGAGCATGGCGAATTGTGGGCACAGAGGATCGGAGGACAAAGATCCTAGCCTCCGGGTCCCTTTCGCCAGCCGCGTGCAAGACTTGTTGCCTCAGTAGTGTACAAGACCACACCGCTTTGCCGATCGGAGATAGTGGTTGACTCATCGGCGAGGCAGGAAGGCACGAACGAGGGGGCAAGCCCGTCCGGCGAGTGTCAGCTACCTGCCAAGCAGGGCACTGGCGGCAATCTACGAAGAAAAGAGACGAGTCTGAATTGGGAAGGAAGAAAACCATGGATTAAAATACGAAGTAGGCAAGTGCGATTGTCACTCCCGCAAAGCAAGAATACTTTTCAGGCAAGGAGACGGCGATAAAAAGGCCACAGATATGGGAAAGGAGAAAAAGACGAAAGTCCGTTGAAAAAACTGCGGCGAGCAGGATAAAGGCGTGAGATGCAGAGTGGACCATGTTTCTTAGACACACACAAAAACAAAAGCTAGAGCCTGGTCAGTCGCATTCGCACTGCGAGGTAGGAGGAGATCTACAGCGTTGAATGTAGCACGGTAATGTAGCAGCGCACACACATATGCTCCTTCCCTGGCACGAATAGGACGTTGAAGCAGTTGCCAGGAAGAAAAACAACGGCAAGGCTCACGGAAGGCAGCTGCGAACGCAGGTAAGGCAGAGAAGAAAACAAGGGACCAATAGCCCCCGCTCTTTCCATGGCCCGCTGTTACCGCCGTTCCTGTCTCATTCTTGGCCCGTGTTTTGCGTACTTGTTGATATTGCAGTGGGGACCGGCGGAAGAATTAAGACAAGAGGTAGGAGCGGACTGCGGTTGGCCAGTCTGTTTAACAACTTGCCTTTCACGGCAAGAGCACCCCCACCCCGGCCGCTGTTAGTGGGTGCAGTGGGTTGCCCGATGGATTTTTAAGGCACGAGCCAGTCCGTCAGTCTGTGACAGACGACAGGCCGGAAAGATTTTGAAAATACCACTCTAAATGCAAGAAAGCTGATTTTGCCAGGTGAGGTTTTCCGTGCTGCATCCTCTGTATTTCCCAGATGAAGACTCGTTCAGGGCAGTGCTCTCGTGGCTGAGATGCCGAGTCATATGGTAACTGTAATGACTCTGCTTGGATCTTGATATGGCTCTTCTTGTCATTTTCGTTTTCTATAATCTTTAGTGGTATTCTGCCATTTTTTAATTTTTTGGCCAAAGCACCTGACGGTATGAGACTTGTCTCACATCCTGAGGCAGTTCTGCTTGATGACGGGCCAGTAAGGAAACGCAAGTGTGGCAGGCCAGGCAGCCACGCAGCATTAAAACATGTGGCCTCCAGCATAGTTGAGAGAAAGGCCAAAAGCTGAAGGCGAAGTGCAGATGGCAAGAAGGGCGTCGGAGACAATTCCGAATTTGTCCGGCAAATACAACGGCCTGCAACCTGCAGAGGGAGGCGTGGACGAAGAAATGGTGGGAAAGGTAGATTCCAAGGCCAAGGCTAGGTTCGCCTACAAAGTCGGTGTAAAAGGCTGGTCAGCCGACATGCGAAGCGAGAGAGGCAGGTTCCAGGAGGAGGGCGAGGCCGACATGCGACCAGTCTCGGTTTGTAAGTTTTACTGTCGAGTTACCCGCCGCACGGCTGCAGCCCGGTCCGATCGAGGTATGCTGTCTGCAAGTTGTGCATCTACTTGGCCTACGAAAACAGGGCAATTCTGCAATTTGGCTATTTGTGCCAATATTTATAGTACGTGATGTTGATACCGCTCCGCCGGTTCGAAAATCTATGCAATGCCAATTGCCAGAGGCCATGAATGAGGAAAAACTATAGTACCAATAAAAGAAACCGCCCCAGAAAGCACAGACCACTGGTCATGTTTTTTTTTGTCGAATCTGGCTCTTCTCTATCATCAATCAAAGGGTATCTTGGCTGAAGATTTGTACTTGTCTGTGGCTCCACCTCACGTTCCACATGAACATGAATAGAGGCCCTGGACCGGACCTGACAGCTGCGCCAAAATGCTTCGAATCACGCTGTTGCTTTTACGAATATTACGACGGGAAGTCACCAACGAAGGCCCCAAGATACCACGGCGAACAAGCCCCGGCGGGGTCTAATGCACGGCTCTGTGACCAACCTGACCTTGTGGGTTGGTCACATCCTTCATGCTACTGGTCCCCACCCTTTCTCATGCATTTGTTTCATTCCTTTTTGTTTATCGCCTTTTGCTCCACGCTTCTGTCATTTTTATCGACCTTCCTCTTTCTTCATTCTACGGCCGTCCGCCCCCTCCCCCCATCCATGTCTCTGTAAATATTTCGTCCCGTGTCTCTCATCGTAGTGGTCGCCTGGTCGTAAGCACGGAGAGACGCTTAACCATTCACGCATTTTCATTATCCATGAAGCTACTCTGGTCTCCTAGTTCTTTTTTTTTTCGACTTCCATGGAGAACTCGACTTCTCTTTTTCGTATCCAACACCAGACACCGATTTTTGTTGCGGTTATCAATTACCAACATTTCAAAACATTGCCTTCGACCATTTGAATAGAATGGACGCAAGGGATTTGATTTTCATGTTCAGATTTCCTTTCCCCATGGGCTGCATGATGCGTCGTCGTAGTACGGGGTACTTCTACCGCCTGCATACCCAAAAGTCATCATATTGAGAAAAATCGCGTGCTTGGTCGGTTGTGACTCACTGCCCATAATTCACAACTTTGAGATTAATGCTCGCGGGGCACAATCCGTCCGACTCACCTCTACGCTTCCTTCATCGCTTTTTCTCTTTACTTCGTAATACCGTTGGATCTTTCGAGCCCTCCAGTTGTTTGACATTTATGATGCACCTCATTTCGGCTGTCAAAGTGACACCGCCGATAAGTGGTGTCGTTCAGCCAGAGCACAGCTTGGATTGACGGTGTGATGCTTTTATCCCGGGACGGGCGCGGGATGTGAGGGGAGGTGACTCCAGGCGGGGAGGCCCGAGGCAGGTGGACTTACACACAAGCCAGCCGAGAATCACTTGCAACCGACAAAACCGTCAAGGTGTATCGCGACCACATCTCGTTAGTTGGACTAGGAAAACTAACATCTCACACCTCGGTCATTTTGTTGACATAACGAGACGGAATGAGAAGGTGAGCAAGGCCGTAAGTTTCCCGCATATGAGCAGTAAATATGCCGTAATTCCTGCCCGCTGCTGGGCCACAGCTCCGCCGGTACAGCTTGGCCAATTGTAGCAAAGGTCCCGTCCCCCAGCCGTGCCTCGCAGGACCGGCAAGGCAACGCACATGACTAGTCGGTGTTTTTTCGCTGGAAAGATTTAGATCTGTATTGAGCAATATGCGGGTTGCCTGTAGCATGGCTCCGGGGCCACGTACAGAGATGAGGACCGTAAGGCGGATAGCGGGCGTCACAGCAGAGGCCGAGATTGATATTTGAAGTTCGATGTCAAGACTACCACCCGAGAAAAGGAGGGAACGATCGCGAGAGCGAGGGACAGTGTGACATTTGACTCGCCGACAGTGTGAAACGACCAAAGATGGGGGGCATGCTCAGGTGCCTCTGGACGCGCGGTTTGGAACGTTGCTCGTTCTCGCAGTGCATAAACGGGGGCGCATCTACAATGGCGATGCTCTTGCTCGAGCTCCTATTCGTGCCACTTATCGCAATTCGCGCATGTCGACCCCTGTGCACGTGCAGCTGTGATGCACGTCCGTTGCGTCTTCCTCAGTGGTCGTAACAGATTCCTGCCAAAGGTATGCTTTGTGTCAGACTGACGCCCGTTTTGTTAGTCGCCAGACCCACAGTGAGAGAAGTGACAGACACACAGTCTTGAAACGGCCGTGCAGCCCCGGTTTGAGGTACCGCGCCCCAAGACAGGCGATCTGTAAAGCATGAACATACAAAGTGTCTACTAGTTCCAGGTCTCTTTTGTAAACCTCCGTGGACAAAAGGACCGTTCCCGGATTCCGGTAGAGGCACGAGACGTTCGACGGCGTTTCCGTGAGCATTGGTGCCTTCTACCAGTGCTGCTCTACAGTGCAGATTCAGCTTATCGGCACTGTACCACGGGAGCAAGCTCCACTAGCGTGTTCTGGCGTCTCGCAACAAACCCAGCTGCCCGCAGCCATTGAGCCAATCGCGGTCGGGCAGAGCCACATAAGTCGCACTTTACACGACAAGACGCGACGCCCCAATCTGGAAGCGGCCAAGCCGTGGCTTGCACCTCCGTCCGCCTCCACCATATGCTCCTGCCCTTTTGTCACGAACGACAACGACGACGTGCCTTCCTTTGCAACACACCACCAGCCGCCCATCGCCATCCCTGACTTGCTCCTCCCCTAATCGAATCTCAAAAGTTCGTGATAGGGTTTTGCCTGCCTCACGCCGGAGTCAGCCATAAAGCTCCTCTCATCGTCTGCTGCAAAATTCGTCCCCCAGCCAATCTTTCAGCCTTCCAGCCTCCTTCCGCGACGACCTCCTTTCGTCTCGAGCTTCGAAGCCTCTTCTGTTCGGTTCTTATCGCCCTCGATAGATAGCAAACGTCCGCGACCGCAACGAATTCTTTCTCCGACATCCTCCTTTTTCGAGCAGCACCTGGGTCGACAACGGGCCTCTTTCTTCGGCCCCGAAGCACATGTCACCATGAAGAGCATACCCTTGATCATCAATTGGCATGACCAGAATGCCCCCATCTACTCTGCACACTTTGAGCCGCACGGCAAGGGCCGTTTGGCGACGGCCGGCGGCGACAACAACGTCCGGGTAAGCTCAGGAGTCGATGGCGAGGGCACTTGATCCGCCTTTGTATCTGAGATTGCGGAAGCTAATGACGTCCATGCAGCTCTGGAAGGTTGAAAACGATGGCGAGAGCAGAAAAGTCGACTATCTGTCGACCCTAGTGAAGCACACACAGGCCGTCAATGTGGTCCGATGGAGCCCAAGAGGTGAGCTTTCAGCCATCTTCTCTTTTTGTCATATTAGCATCACTAACACCACAGGCGAGCTGCTGGCCTCTGCTGGCGACGACGGCAACGTCATCCTTTGGGTGCCCTCGGAGACACACCACCCGACCTTTGGCAACGACGGCATCGAGGACAAGGAGAGCTGGCGGACAAAGCATATGTGCCGCTCCTCCGGCGCCGAGATCTACGACCTGGCGTGGTCGCCCGACGGCATGTACTTTATCATCGGCAGCATGGACAATATTGCCCGCATTTACAACGCGGCCACAGGCTCGCTGGTCCGCCAGGTCGCCGAGCACAGCCACTACGTCCAGGGCGTCGCCTGGGATCCTCTCAACGAATACATCGCCACGCAGTCGTCCGACCGCTCCGTGCACATCTACTCGCTGAAGAACAAGGACGGCCAGTACATTCTCAATGGGCTCGACGACAAGACGCCCAAGGTGGCCAACCACAGCAAAGCCGACCTGCCGCCGCGCCACCTCGCGTCCCACAGCCCCGCACCCTCGGACATCACCACGTCCCATCGCTCGCAGCTCGCGGCCATCGACGCCGTCGGCATTGGCGCTGGCCCGACTTCCATAAGCTCGCCTGTTCCCTCGGCGCCGGGCACGCCGACGTCGTTTGCCCTGCCCATGAACCCGCCCAGCGTCGTGAGCCACAGCCGCCGCTCGTCATTCTCCTCACGACGGTCCGTATCGCCGGCCCCGTCAATGCCGCTGCCAGCCGTCATGCCCATGGAAGCCTCGCCCAAGCCGCATACGACGGCCTCGAGCATCGCCATGCGGAATGCGAGCCTCTACGCCAACGAAACGCTGACGTCCTTCTTCCGCCGCCTGACCTTTACGCCCGACGGCAGCCTCCTCCTCACGCCGGCCGGCCAGTACCAGACACAGCACCAAGCCGAAGGCGCCACCAAGCCCACGTACGAAGTCACCAACACCGTCTACATCTACTCACGCGGCGGCATCAACAAGGCCCCCATCGCCCACCTGCCGGGACACAAGAAGCCCTCCGTGGCTGTCCGCTGCTCGCCCGTCATCTACACCCTTCGCCAGTCCACGGCACCGCCAACCAAGCACATTACCATCGACACGTCCTCATCTGAGGAGCCCATCCCGTCCCTCCCCGATCCCATCACCAAGCCTGCCTCTGCAGCTGGCACTCCTTCGGTCATGGATCCGCCGCCACCACCAAGGTCAACCGCAAACGATAGCCAAGGCACAGAGGCGACCGCCTCCGCCGCTGCTCCGGGCGCATCGAGCTCGGCAACCACCACCTCCACGACCACGACCACGACGGCAACGACGCCAGGGCCCAAATCTGTCTTTGCCCTGGGCCATCGCATGATTTATGCCGTTGCCACGCAAGACTCTGTACTGCTGTACGACACACAACAGCAATCGCCCATATGTGTGGTCAGCAACCTGCACTGTGCCACGTTTACCGACCTGACTTGGTCGAGCGACGGCCTGACGTTGCTAATCTCTTCGTCAGACGGTTTCTGCTCGACGCTTTCGTTTTCGCCGGGCGAGCTGGGCGCGCAGTACACGGGCGACCTGACGGTCCTCTCGAACCAAAAGCGGGCGGGATTCGGGGCCGACGACCGCTCCTCTGCCTCGGCTCAAACCACTCCCATTCCTACTCCGACCGCCGTGTTTGCACCGCCGTCACCCTATACGCACCAGCAACGGAACTCGGCCAGCTCGTTCTCGGCGCCCTCGCCACCACCTACAGCCTCCTTTGTCAGCAGCGGCCGCCCGTCGTCTCCGGCACGGTCCAACTCCACCTCGTCTGTCATCACTCAGCCCGGCACCGTCGTCCCCATACCGTCGGCCTCCACCACAAATACCGGCACCGGTGGGCCTGGATCCGTCATCAACAACCCGCCCCTCGTCGTGGGCACAATGCCCAGCCTAGCCGCTGCCTCGCCCAGCAACAGCACCATCATTGCCGGCCTAGCCAACCTCAAGGCGCCGGTTGTGTCTAGCGGTGGTGGCGGCATAAATGGTGGTGGTGGTGGCGCCGCAGCCACCCCGCCCGAGACGCCGCGCAACCGAGCCAACAGTGCAACGAGCAGCATTGCCGGCAGTGTTGCCGGGAGCGTGGCGGGCAGTGTCGTGGGCGTGCCACCGGCTGTGTCGGCGGTGCCTCCCTCGTCTGCTTCGGCTTCGGGCACAAAGCGCGATGCTTCCGCCATTGCCGCCTCCAGCAGCGAAGGTGACGACAAAGAGGAGCCGACCAAGAAGCGCCGGATTGCACCGACGCTGGTGAGTGGGCTGGGCGGCGGCAGCAGTGGTGAGGGATCTAGCTCTTAAGGTTGGGAGTTGGGCCCTCTTTTCTTCTCTCAATTTCTCAATTTCTTTTCTTTTCGTTTTTGGCAATGTTTGGGAGTTCTACGTTTGTCGAAGCAGTACAGTGAATCAAGGGACCGTGGGTGTGCTTAGAGATGGCTGATCTGAGCGTGGATTACAATTTGCACATTGCGCTTCCGTCGTTTGTTTCATTCTGTTGTCAAAAGGATATACTTTGGGTTTCTGCCTTGTTTTTCTTGCAAAGGCGATTGGGTTTGTTGTCATAATTTGCTCATTTTATTTACTGGTCATTTGCAATGGGAAACCTAACAAAAAATTTCCATGTTCATTAACATTCCCCTCTCCCGCGTCCGTTCACAAAATAGTTCCAAATTTCGTCTTGCTGTCCCGTGAAGCACCAAATGTGTACGATGATGAGTCAAGATTGCCTCTCCCAACTGCCGCGTCCCTGAACTGACCTCAAACAGCCTGCCTCCGATGCCTAATAATCCGATCGCGTTTCTATGCAGGCACAAAAGGAAAAGCAGTCTCGCCGAGACAATGCCACCACGAATCGACTTTGACGTGTTCAGGTCTTGTAAAAAGCCCAAGTAAACACATCACACGACCTAGCTGAGCCTAGGCAGCTGCTGTGTCCGCCAAATCACCAATCCTAGAATCATTGGCCAAAGCACAAATTGGAAGACCATCACGACGAGGATGACTCGGCGCTGCCGCGTGTTGAGACGGCCGACCTCACCCTTTGAGTACCATGAGAGCCCGCTGTCAAACTTACCCAGATACACCATGACAGAGATAAAAGGGAACATGCTGACCGCCAGCATGCAATAGAACCAAGTCTGGCGCCGCTGCCGGCCTTCATGGGTGATAAAGGCCTCCGGATCCAGAGGTACGCCATTGCGCTCCAGATCCCGTTGAGACCCGGCTTCCTGGAGTGCAATGGCTTGAAGCTCAGGATCGGTTCCCCGTGTCCGCTGCCGACGGCGTGCATGGTAATCCCAAGGGTACAGTCGAGGCTGGCTGCTGCGGCTGATCAGACTGCTACCAACTGTAAAGCTCGGTCTCGTCCGCTCCTGGAAGCGGTGGGCAAGGTCGTCCAGTCGCAGCCTCGTTGCAGCAGATTTGAGCATGTGGGTTGGGCCGCCATGGCGAGTGTCTGTGCTTCCGAAAGGAAGAATTGTAGCCCCCGTTCCGCCTGCTGTTGTGGAACTCATGGCGGACTGCATCGTCAGGTCCCTGGGCAACGTGCGCCGTTTCTTCAGTCTGTTGCTCTGCTTGGAGGACCGAGTGGAGCTCGAGGCAAAGACGGAGGCAAACCGAGTCGGTGCCCGTGGATAAGCGCGTTCTGGAACACGGATGCGACGGGAATGACGTGCGCGCTTCTTGCTTGCTGTATTGTGAACCCTGAAGGTGTCGGCAGCTGAACTTTCGGTACCAGTTTCTCTTTCGACAGCCTGAAGACGCGCAGCTGCAGGTAGCGGGATGAGCGGGAACGGAAAGCTATGGACAGTGCCGTTGGAGCTTTGAGACGAGCTCGAATCACGCAGCGAGTGGCTGTCATCAATCACATCACCCAATTCAGAGGCCGTGATGTTGTTTGTGTCGCTGCGCGTATTACCAGTGTCACTGGACAACCCCTGAAATTCGTATACTCCGCCCTTTGCAAAAAGAGGATCGCGGTCGGAGCTCTGGGAGTGATGACGAAATTCAAACCTCTTTCTTCCCTTTTCTAATTTGAATGGTGGCGGTTGGAGAGCCATGGGGGAGAACCGACGTGTGCGTCTTCCGTTCAGCTGCCGAAAAGGGCTTGAAACCTTTCTGGCAAGTGCAGCGGCCGCGTCGCTTCCAGAGCGTTGCGAATTTGGGTACGCGCGCGATGGATTCTGAGGATAGCCATTGACCCGGTGAACTCGATGCTTTGGGACCATGACGGGAACATTGATGCCGCTTATGTTATGAATCTGCAGGCTCTCTTCTGAGTCTTCATGTCCACTTGGATGCTGTACAATGCGATCCGTGGATGCATACTCGTCGAAAGGTACGTCGTTAAATCTACTGTCATCGGAGACGTCGGCCACACTACTTCCAGTGAATTTGGCTCCCTTCGAATTGTAGGCCCCTAGTTCTCGACCCGGAGGGGGTTGCAGTCTCATGCTTCCAAAACCAGGTGCCGTCGTGGCCACGGTCTCCCAGTCATCCCGCTCGCTTGAAGGCATGTTTTCTTTCTCCCGCCGGCAGAGGCTACCGGATTGGAATGGATTTTGTGCACATGGGGGCAGAGGCTTCTCGGATGTCATGGTGCTGCCTTGGCCAATCTTCGAGCGGTGGCCACCACTGACACTGGGATTGCGGCTCACATCCTGAAGCACAACCTTCACTTCATATGCACTGCGCTCGACAGCCCAATTTGGCTGGATGACAGAGGTATCGTAAAATCCGTCGGCACTCTCAGGGGTCAGAGAGCGCGCCCTGGTAGGGCCTGTGAGAAAGGGTTCTTCACCGAGGTATTCTTTGGGGATCGGAGGCGGTCGAAGCGGCAATTGGCGAGCAGGACGGTCGTCATCTTGAGTGTAGAGAGTGGCCCGGCTGTGCGAGCTGAGGCCACTGATATGGTTGAGAGCTGCACTGACATCCCTCTCCTTGGATGGATGGAGGAAGATGTTGTAGGTGTCTTTGTCATAGCGGAAGGGGTCCTCTTCCGAATCCGTTGTCATTCCTGCGGCAGAAACTGCCGTACCACTATGTAGGCTTGTGCGTTTTCCCTCCACACGCATTGATTGCACACGGAGGGGCTTTGGATACAGTAGACTTTCTCTGGTTGGAACGGTTAGGAAGGGACTGGCGCGCTTTGGGCTATCTTCTGGCGTGTCTCCTGGTGATGTCTTTTGTCTCCCATCTAGTGCGCGTTGAACATCGACACTCTGCAACGGCCGATCTGCAAGGTCGCCACACGGTGAACTGCTGCGGTCATTGGGACCAAATCCAAGACGATTGACCGCGCCGTCCCGAGCACGCACAATATGCGGGATGACTGGGACAGGCGAGCTGTTGTTTGCATGGAGTGGATTGAGAATGTGTCTCTGGTATTGTGTGTACAGACGCCCAACAGTCGTGTCGGTCGAATACACTGCCATTGCCCTGTGGGAGTCGGATGAGCGATCAGGTCCCTGTGAGTTTCTGCCGGCACCCAAAGGTGAGAGGTTCTCTTCCGATACGTGCCGCACAAGAGGCGAGCAATTCTCGGTTTTGAACGCTGGTGTAGTGACGATGGCTGGTGAGCAGCTTCGCGTACCCTTTCGGTCAAAGATCTTGTCAAGCAATTCTTCCGGGTTTCCGAGATCATTGAAAAGGTCCATTGAACTAGGAGAGAGCGGCGAAGGGAGAAAATCTTGCCGGGTGCTGTTGTCCTCTTGGCGTACAACAGTATCAGCGTTAAGAAAAGTAAAGTTCGTGTCCATGTTGTTCGTGCTGCAAGATGCACTTCCGATCAAGCCATCGGCACCGTGAGATGCCGAGATACTGCGACCTGTGATGCTGCGGTGGGCCTCGCCGAGGTCTCGAAAGCGGCATCCTTTGGGAAGCGAGCTTTTGCAGTCAGTGTTGAGAGGTGCTAAGTCTGGCAACGCACAAAGTTTGGTGGGTAAAAAGGTCGAGTTGAAAGAGGAGGCACGAAGGCCGTTGCGGCTGTTATCTGTTGCAGCCATGCTGAACCGGTAGAGACTACTCTCTCGCGGCCATCAGAAACGGTGGAGGTGGCTCTCCTTGCAACGCAAACTAGAGAAACAAAAGTCGGTACACGATCAACGGAACCAAAAAGGCGTGGGCAAACAAAAAAAAATAAGCGCGTGGCGTTGTGTGGACATATACGCGTTGAACATTCGCTTGGGGAAAGAGCGATGAAAGGGTGTTGCATGTCGTTCCTGCCGTTTTTGGTCAAAACACCCAAGCGGCAAGACTGGACCTTCTGTGAGAAAGAGATAGTCAGAGAAAGAGACAATCAAGGAAAGAGCACATCAGGTCTTATTGTATATATACATGGCAGGGATTTGGGGCTTTGTGGTGTCGAGATATCGAATGACAGTGACAACGACATACACGAGGATATCGCGAGGGGGAAACGGTATACTGGGAGTTTAGGAATCGTTTGAGTTCATCAATATATGAGACGCTGCTAGAATAGCTATATAATCCGTGAATATGGCCTCGAGCTTCAGAGTTGAGGTGAAATGTTATTTTTTTTCTCTTGTTTTATAATGAAAATATGATGTTGATTTTTTTACATTTGATAGGTTTTAAAATAAATGACGAGTAGGCCAGAGTTAAATATCTTCGTTCTATTTTCTATTTTTTTTAAAAATAAATAATTAATTAATAAAATGATAACCTAAACAAACATAGAAGCAAAGCTATACTCTACTTTATTATAGACAGTATCATATGCACGACTTACTGGAAGTCGAAAAGGAGATGTAAATATACACAGTGCAATACAGTGCACAAAACAAATTCGCACTTATAGGCTTAACCTACCGTGAATAATACGCGATGCCCCCCGCCCTTTTCCGACGGGATGGAACGTGCTGGAACTCCAGGGCACTTCTTCCGCGTCGCTCACGGAGTATTACGATACCCCAACACTCCAATCCACACCAATGTTCTTGTGCCGCATACAATACAAGTATGAACAGCGAGTATAGGCACGACCCTGCTCGTCCCCATTGAGGGCTCTCTCACAGGAGTCACCTAGCCCTTTATCCACAGTATCGTATTGCGCTACCTCGTTATCGGATCGCTCCGTGAGGAGCACAGGGCGACCATCATGGCCTCCTCCAAACTGGAGAAGCTTCCAGCCGAGCTGACACTCCAGATTCTCTCCTGTGAGCTTCAGCGGACTGCCTCACTGTCAAAAGACCACCTGTTGCCTTGCCAAATTCTGACCCAGCCGGCATAGATCTCGATGATGACGATATTGCGGCCGTGCAGAGCACATCTCGGCATCTGCGGCTCATTTGCCGCGATGACGGCCTCTGGCGTGGGCGCTGTTTTGGTGCGAGTCGTCTGGCGTCGACGTTGCGCCGCAAGAAGTGGCGCCACCCGGCGCACGCCCAGAATGCGCAGTCCAGCAAGGCACGCCGTATCGAGATTCGGGCGGCATGGAACGCCGTCTTCGACAACGGCGAGCCCGTGTCGTGGTACGACGAGCACATCCAGCGGAGCACAAACATTGCAACGGACTGGTTTGAGCTGCCACGGCGTCGCGATGGCCACCGGCTGCTGGACAATGCCGATGTGCTCGAAGTGTGCGGCGTGGCACTGTTCAGACCACAGGACGCGGAAAAGAACGCCAATGGCAGTGAACAGTCGGAAACGGAGGGAGATGAGGAGGGCGGTGCCAACGATCGACTAGAAGGCGTACCGCTATTGCTGGCAGTGGCCCCGCTCGAGGACGGGTCGGTCTGCCTCTGGGACGTCAACGGCACAATGAAGCGGCGTGGTGCCATTCTGAGCCAAAGCGTGCCGGGTCTTTTGTTTTCGGCGATCCCGAATCTGGAAAACGACAAGCCTATATTTAATGTGACAGAATGCGTGGCCGTGGACAGCCCGCGCTGCCTGGCATACTTTGCCGTGCGGAACCGTCTGTGGCCCGTCTCCGACCTCCTCCCTTGATAATGTGAAGACTAAAGACTAACTTGGGCGATAGGTCTTGTCGTGGTCGATTTGAAAGCACTAGTTGTTGTCAGTGTCAAGGTCTTCCCTCAGACCATCACTGCACTGTCATCGGCAGACACGTCTGTGCCGTTGAGCGTGGGGACACGGGCCGGAATCCACCTCTACGACGTTCGCGTCCACACACATGACGCTGCGGGCGAGTTCCGGCACGTAGACGATATCATCGACGAGTCAAATACCGGGCCCTTTCCACAACCCGGCCCCTTGTCCATTGTCCACGTCCCGGAACACGGCTCGGAAGGCACCATCTCGAACGACATTTTTGCAGCGGGCCGCATCTCCAGCATCCTGCACTATGACCGGCGAAACCTCTCCGTGGTCAAGAACGCGATCCACTCGGGCGCCAGCCTGTGTGGCCTGACCTCCCTTGCCTATCCATTTCCCTCCATCAGGGATTACAGCTATCTGAGGAATAGCAACGGCCAGACCGCAGGGTCTGGTTTCGGAAGCGGCGGGCGAACAGTCGTGGCCTGTGGCGAGTACAAGTCCAAGGGCTCTCTCGAACTGTATCCGGTCGACGAGGGCCAGTCGCAGTCTGACAAGCATATGGTCAATCGCCAGACGTCCTCCTCTGCTAAGATTTTTTCAGTCGCGAGCCACGGTACACGCCTGGCTGTGTCCGACGGTGCTGGCTTTATTCGGTGGTTCGAGCGAGACGGGTTTACGGAAGTCCGGCGGTATGCGCTTGGGTCAGACGACTACGAGGAAGACGGGGGTGAAGAGGTCGAGAAGAACGAGACAGAAGCACCTCGAATGCCGCCGCGCCGTGCTCACAATACGACGGAATCAGGCGATATTGCTCGCAAGCTGCTGCCCGTGTATAGGGTCGGCGGCTTCAGCAGCAAGCGCGACAATAGCTTTAGGAACAATGGGCTGCTGTTCTGGACGGGCGAAAAGCTCGGACTCATCAGCTTTACGCGTGAAAAGGGAACGCGGTCGGCGGACTTTGTCAAAGATACAATGACTGCGGCCGAGAGGGCGACCGAAGAAGCAGGGAAGGCGTACAGATCAAAGATGCGGCAGCTGTTCAAGTCTGCCCGCTACTTTGGTGAAGATAGCGACTCGGACGACTAATTCGCAAGTTACTGGTGCTAGGTGGCATGCACATTACCATCTCGCTCACCATCGACTCGGTTTCATGGCTGTGCCGCCTTCGCAATATAGCATCGTATAATAGTGTCTTGGCCAAAGGAAAATTTGATTTAACGCCCTGGGAAAGGAATCCAAACAACGGGCAGGACCAGGCGACATGCGGTCGGAAACCCTTGCACGCAGACTCGGCGCCAGGGCAAAGTCCAGGGCGCCCAATCGACGGGCGTTGGGTCTCTTGGGCGTCCGTTTGTGCCCAATCGTCGCGGTGCACGACAGCACTACCAGACGCGGCAAACACCAATGCATTCAGTAGGAAAGTCGAAACAGGTCTCCGAAATAGAAAGACAAGATTCGCGACGAGTACGACGTACTGTACTTCCTCTCAATCAGAGCGAGCAGCTCAGCCCCGGCGCATGACAAGCTCACCGCTTGTGCGTGCCGGCGCATGAGGCGCGTGGGTCGTCATTGTAAGCCAATACCACCAATGGCCTCGTCATCTCTCTTGTTTGCTTCGTCTTCATGTCTCGAAACTCGGGGGGATTTCTACCTATTTCTCTCGTTTCGGAAGACACGCAATCGATTCACCGCTTCGTCTGTTATTTTTATTTTCTTCTTCCTTTTTGCTGCCGGCATCGTGTCCGTGCAGGGCTGAGCGTGCTCCGCAATACGCAGGGGTGGCCTTGACCTGGGCACCATATGACATCCGCGTGTGGTAGCAAGAAAAGAAAGCAAATCGAAAGAAAACGATAGACGGATGAAGTGAGTAGATGCAGTGCTACCTCTTTTGGATAACAAAGACTCAAATAGCTTTAGCGCCATGTTCTGCAGGCCCCTGGCAAGTGCTTCATGTGTATTTAAAACGGAAAGCGCCATGCAACAGAAGATGAACACCACCACACCGCTTCCCCAGCATGTGGTATTTGCACCTTCCTGCGGTGGGCGAGAAATCACAGTCGGAAAGAGCAAACGATTTTGTTTACATATGTTCTTGCCCGCTTCACATTGCCAGCTGTTGTCAACAAGGGAAGTACCGGCCTCGAACACGTATAACAATCCTGCCACTTCAATTGGTCTATTACAGGCGCCTTCTCCGGCACCTCCTGCCACTGTAAAAGATGCGGAATCGATGAGGAAGGAAAGTATGGCTCTGTGAGATTCTCAAAATAGGCAGGCCCCACCCTCTGCCATTCGTCCTCCTGCGTCGGCGACCCCTCTGCTGTGTGATGTGGTCGAGCTTCTGTGGACTCACAAAACTCACGAAAATCCAAAGCGACTCACTTCCCGCCGCCGACCCGGCCGCAGCCCAATACACAAGAGCATTTGACACAAAGAGAGCCTCGGAGCCGACCAGGAACAGCTTGGGCCTTGCCACATCGACAGGCAAAGTCCGCCAGCGCCTCCATCCGCCAGCTGCATCTCCGATAAACCGGGTCTGCCTGTCTGGATGCAGCGTCAAAGTCTCCACCTCTGTTGTTGAGGCTGGCCATCAAACGCAGTGTCCTCCGTCCAGTCTTGCTTGACCGTCAAGTCTATTGGTGGCGGACGGCGTCCACCCATCTGCACCATGGGCTATTCTGGCTAGAGAGGTGTCCAATTTTGGGCTTTTGCTTGGTTCAGACGACAGCGTTCGAAGATCATAGAGCCCGTCGACCATACCGCCCTGGCTGCCAGGTGCTTACGTGTTGTACACTTTTGAGTGTGTATGATTTATATCGTTCTCATCTCTTACATTTTCAGCTCTTCTCATACGAGGCACGTCGATTTCTTCTCTGTCGATCCAAGCAACAGGCACAACTACCCCTTTATCACACGCCTCGCCTTCTGCTCCTCCTACCACACAATCCAAACTTGCCATAGTAAGCCCTCGTTCACTCGGGGCGCG